CCGCCTGGGACCCAAGAGGGGGCAGAGAGACGGTTCCCCGTCACCCACTGGCTGTCGTCTTGCCCACAGCACACGCTTTCTTCTCCATCCCGAAAGCTCGGAGGGCATTTCGGTGTCTGTGGGTTGGGTGTGGGGTCCGGGAAAGCCCTAAATGGCCAGAACTGGAAACCCCGAAGTCGTGATCCTGCCCCCCCGCCCCCCACCCGCAGGCAGGCAGAGCACATCCAGCTTCCTGAGTCTGAAGAAGTTCGTAGACATCTGTGAGGTTCTGGAACTCACGAGGGGCATGACCGTCCTCCCGAAAGATGGTAACGTGGCCTTGGGGCGACACGGCTTCCGTTCCCGCCTGTCCCATTCGAGAGCTGACACTTGCGGGGCAGGAGCGATGGACGGGTGACAGTGCCAGATCTGAAGCCACGCCCGAGCGCGCTTCCTGTCCCCACCTCTTCTGTGCACATCAGGGCTTGTCCCCGTCTCGGGCCCCACTCGGGGGGGCGCTGGCACTTAGAGCATCTGTGCTTCCAGGGGCTGCGTGGCTTTCCTTCTGCAGTGGCCCAGCTTAGCATACGTGCCACCAGGGAGAGCCAGCAGACGGGCCGCGGGCAGACGCCTCTCCCCTCCGGCGGCCCAACCCTCCCATCACCCCCGCCCCTCCCACAGCCTCCTGCGCGCACACCATCCTGCCCTGAGAGCCTGCTCTTCCCTTTGGGGCTCGGCTCGTGGGCCCCCTCGCACCCGACTGCTTGTCGAGAGGTGATGAGTGATTCCAGGCCATGGCTCCAACCCTGAAGGCGTCTGTTACGGTCGTCGAGAGGTGGGATAGGAGGGCGCACGCCGGCCGGGCAGGGAGACGCCAAACCAGGCCCCTCTTGCTGTGTCCTCTGGGTGACGGGGCAGGAAGAGGCTGCCGTGCCTTGGCTTTGTAAAATAGACTACGGACCGGTCCAACGCCATCGTTGTCACGTGCCTTCTCTGCAGCGAGTCTCTGCCACCATTCTCTGCGTCCCTGGACCTCCTACCCCTCCTCAGGAAGCCATGGCTTATGCACCAAACATGTATTAGCACCTGTGGGGTGCCAGGCATCATCATGGGGCGGGGGGAGCAGTGAGCAGGACAGGACAGGCAAACGCAGTTCTCAGGACAATGCCTTGTCAGGAGGGGCAGACTCTAGAGCAGTCACTGAGCACACAGGGACACTGAGAAGCAGAGCTAGAGGGACCAGCAGCAGCAGCAGCAGCAGCAGCAGATCTGACTTACTCTGGGGGCGGAGAGGCAGAGGTCTGGGAGAGCTTCTTGGAGGAAGTGCCATTTCATCTGACAAGTGAAGGGTGGCGGGACTTAAGTGGGTTCTGGTGGGGCTGGGGAGCAGGGCAACCTGGGAGAGGAACCAGCCTTCAGAACTACTTGGGGAGGATGGCGATGGAGAGACAGGCCTGGACTCGAGCTGTTTGGAAGGATGAGGGGATGGGTGGGGAGAGGCAGGCGAGAGAGGCTGGTCCAGTCACAGGAGAGGGACTGCCAGCAGAGGGGGATGGCGCTGAATTTCCAGGACATGCAGATGGACGCGTCGTGCATGGAGTGCGAGGAGAGATCCGGGGCACAGACTTTTGGCGTCACTGATCTGTACTTGGTCATGGGGGTCACAGGCATGGCCCAGATCAGCTAAGGAGGAAGTAACAAGGTCAAATCCGTCAGCCACGACCTGTAACTAACTGCCGCAGCCTCTCTGTGCCAGAGCCCAGCAGGGACCCCATAGCCTTGCAGCCCGCGGTCCTTTGCTTCTTTGGTGCTCAGCAGAGCAGAGAAGGGACACCCAGGGGGGTCATTCTGGGCATCCCCCTGCCTCCGACCAACATGTCCAACACCTCCACAGCGGAGGGGCCCCGAGACCCTCTCGCCACTCATTCAGCTGCTGCGCCCCCCACGCTCACCCTGAGCAGGGGCCCGTGCTGGGCCTGGGGCGGTGCTGAAAGGTCCACGTGGTCCCTGTCCTCCGGGAGCTCACAGCTGGGGGGGGGATGGGCAGAGCAGATGGACAAAAGCGCAGAAGCAAATCCAGGTGGGAGAGAAGGGCTAGTGCTCTGGGGAAATGGGGCTGGTGCTGGGGGGCGGCAGATGGACGGAAGCGCAGAAGCAAATCCAGGTGGGAGAGAAGGGCTAGTGCTCTGGGGAAATGAGGCCGGTGATGGGGGGGCGGGGCTAGGTGGGATCTAAGGCCTCCAGGGTGACAGTGACGCTGTGACCAGAAGGACAAGACAAGTCAGCCCTGCACACGTCTGGGAACAGTGTGCGGGGGAAGCTCGAAGGCGCAGAGACTCAGGGGGAGGAGAATTCAGCCGGAGGCTGGAGAGAGTGAGAGAGAGGGGGAGGGGCGGGGGGGGCAGGAGGGCCGGGCTGGGCCTGGACGGATGTGCCAGCGTCTCTGCTGGGACAGTGTTGCCCTGACTTAGCACGCACAGGATGAGGTGCCTGTGGCTGAGGCGTGCCACTGAGTTCTAGAAACTACGCTTGTTCTCTTTTTGGAGGATTAGGTCCCCAGCTTCCGAGCTGGGCCCTCCAGCTGGGACTCGGCCTCCTCCGGGCTGCTGGGTGGCCAGGAGGACAGGGGGTCCTTCCTTCTCCCAACCAGCCTTCCTGTCTCCATGAAGCAGGCGCCTGCTACTCCTTGACTGCACCGCGCTTCCAAGGGGAGGGCGCCCACCTGCCCGGGGATGGGGGCTGCAGGGGATGCTCAGGGCCAGTCCAAGTGCCGCTGGGCACAGGGAGTCAGGTTGGATTCCCACCCAGGTTGGACTGCCACCCAGGTGCCTTGTCAGCAGTAACTTACACTGAAGTGCAGACGACTCCACGGGCCACCCCGCATCTGCCCAAGCAGTGAGAACCCCTTGCTTGTGAGGTGTCCATGGCGGGTCCTTCCTGACCCGACTTCAGAAGCTTCCAGGTTAAAGAAGAAGCCAGGTGTGGCAACCAGTGCTGGGCAGCCTGACCTTCCCTGCCAGTCAGAGATGGCACCTGCGAGTAGGTGCAGCTCTCCCTGGGGGGAGCGTCCTGCAGGGGTGGGGGGGGCTGCAGGCTTTGGCAGTGCCTCAGGCCCAGCCGGGATCAGAGACCCCTTAGGACTGGGGCAGCTGGGAACCGCTCACTTAGGGCTCTCAGAGAGGGTGGGCTTCTCTGCAGGGAACAAAGGGGTGGCTCCCGCTTCACGGCCCATCGTGGAAGACACCATCCAATGCCTAGGCGCCCGGCACCGTTGTAAGCGCTGTGCATAGGTTGGCTCAGGCAGTGCTGCCACCCACGGGAGGTAGGTCCCAGTGGGATCGTCTTTTTGCAGGGTCTACAGGAGGAGGACCCAGGGCCGCGGGGGGGTGCGCCCCGACT